AGAAACCCCTAAACCAATTTCATACAAACCCATAAACCCTAAACCAATTTCAGAGCAACCTCTAAACCCTAAAACCCTAAACCAATTTGGAAGAAACCCCTAAACCAATTTCATACAAATCCATACACCATAAACCAAATTCACAAAAACCCCAAATTTCAAAGAAAAGGTTTATGAATTGTACCTCGTGGATGTCAACGATGGAGTTATACTTGGATGAACAGCCACCGTTGAAGGAGAAAGACAATTGCATCGAAGAGAGAGAGGTACACGAGGGAGAGAGACGAGCCGAAGAGATGGAGCCAAGAGAGTTAGAGAGAGAAGCCAATTTCTGAAAAACTGATATGAGAACAATAAGTGGACAATAATTTTATATTTATATGTGGTAGTTGTAAAAAAATTAGGAATGAGTGGTATTTTTAGTTAAAATTATGAAATGGATGGCATTTTAGGCTATTTCCCTAAATTTTTTCTATTTATATAGCTGCCAGTTTTGCCTTGTGAAATTTGTTTGTTGTTTTAACTATACATTTGACAACTTTATTTTATTTTGACATCTACACTTGCAACCACACCATCCTGTGCCACCTGTTATCAATCGTTGACTTGATATTTCCAACCTCAAAGCATTTGATTGGTCTAGTCCATATCCAGATCGCATGACAATTGGAAAGAGCTTAATGGTTCATTTGATGTACATCTTGATGTATACTGATCCCTTACTATTAGATGTTTTGTCACAAGAGTTTTATTTTCATCCGACTTACTGGGTTTTGTAAACTTTTATAAAGTATTATTAGGTTACACCTTCTTCTCTGTTTATCTCCTATAAAATATAAGTACACTTTTGTTTCGATGTTACAATTGAGCTAGATGAAGTGAAACAATCAATCAACCCAAAGTAAGTGCCTAAAGCTTCAATACATATAGTGTTTCCATGTTTGAAAACCCCACCAATTCTAGATGGCAATGCGCTGACAGAGTTCTGAGGTGAGATTTTTGTAACAGAGGATGAGAAGAACCATAGTTAGTTACAGAATCCATCAAAGATATATTATGTTCTTTGAACTGAAATTCATTCCTTCCATGATAATTGGAATGACCTGTATTGCTATCGAAATCTTGACTTGCTTGTTGCCGTAGAGCAATAGACTAATCAAATTTGGTCTCACCTGAGTTACCAGTATATTTTTCAAAATCATTATTCATCCCTTTTGTCCCATTGCTATGATTAACGTCTAGTGATCCAGCAAACCCAAAACTGTCATAGCTCTTATATTATCTTGATCACTTGAATGTTTATGCACTTGAAAAACAAACAATGAATAAGACTCTGAAATATCATCAAAAAATTAACTTAATACTTACTATTTCTCATGCTCAGAACATATTTTCTCCTCTAAAGGTAGCTTATGGAGTTTAAATAGAAAATCTCTTTTATTTCTTATTTTTTCAGCTTGGGGTGTATTTAAGGGTAGTTTGGGAAGGTTTACTCAGAAATTGTGAAAATTTAAATTAAAAGTTGGGGTGAACAAAGAGAAGTGTGGGGTTTAAATAGAAAATCTCCCTAATTTATTCACTAATATCCTTATTTTGAAACCCAATCACAAATGCCCCTTATAAAAACTCCCTATTGACAGCCTATTGCCCATCCTTCACTGTTTTTTTTCTTCTGCCCCTCTCTCACTTTTGTTTGGTACTTGATGTGAGTTCAAGTCCCTCCAAGTCAAATTTGAGTGAGATTGTACAGAAATTTGTTGAAACATAATTGTAGGTTTAATTTAAAATTGTGAGTTCTTCTTCTTCTTCTTCTTCGATGATATGCTATCTCTGAGATGACACCCCCATTGCTTTCTTCTTTGCTTCTTCTTCTTCTCTGATATGATATGCTCTATCTGAGATGAAATCCCAAATTTGCATATCCTCTCTCTCTCTCTCTCTCTCTCTCTCTCTCTCTCTCTCATTGATTCCCAACCCTAATTCCCAATTATCCATGTTCTTCTTTTCCTAGGTTCAAAGACCCATCTTCCTCATCCACATCATTAGCCACAAGCACCACCAACGAGTTTGCAAACCCAATTTGTAATATTTGTTCTTGAAATGGGTGGATTGGCATTGACTTTAAATTTTTGTTTGAAACAAAAGCATTTATTTGTCTGAAACCCAACAAAAACTTTCAAAGACAGAGTTGAAAAAAAAGTGATACGACAATGATAAAATAGCAATACAGGCCAATACGATGACAATAGTAAGACAAAAAAAAACTTAGAAATTTCAGATTTATTGCGTGTATATTGCTTGTTTATTGCAATAAACATGCTCAGCAAGATAACTCTAATACAAGCTTTCTCCCTTTGTGTATATTGCTTGTTTATTGTTGATTCAATTCTTAACAACTAAAATGAGTTATTAAAAACAGCAACTTTAATTTTCACAAGTGCACGAACCGTTTATAGTATAGCTTATGTAAATGCGAGGTCGATCCCACAGAGAATGGTAACTTGGTTCCAATTTAAATTACTTAGAATGCTAGAAAAACATAGAACAAGGAAACTGACTAACTAACTAAAGGCAAGGTTGAATTCAACAATGCCTCTTGCTAATTACTCAAGGTCTAGGACAGAATCCTAGCACCACACACACACTCGAAATGAGGGGTTTTTGTTGTTGAAATGAAAAGAAGAAAGTGTAATGAAAGTACTCGAAAGTAAACACTGGCAGCAATCAACAAGTTGTGAAACAATGATTGAAAGGTGTTAGAGCCTTGGAATCCACCACTAGTTTTCCTATCTAAGTTATGAATGCATAGAAATTGACTCAAGCTTCATCACAATAGATTATCGCATACAAGCCTATCGTATATAGGTGCAGGATGCATGATTATCCTAAGGCATGTAATTGTGTATGGTATCTACATAACACATGATCTCTAATATGCAACCTAAGCATGGTATCTACTTAGAATAAAGCATACAAGACTCATTAAGCTCCATGAGAATATGATAATCACACAAGTCCTAGAACATGATATCTGTCATAGTCAACCAATGGTTATTAACCCCTTGAATGATTCTTAGGCCATTCATATGTTGCTTGTGAAAGGAGAGTAGAATTGGTGAATCTAAACCCTTTCCCAACTTGTGCTAGATGCATAAAATCCTAGTTAGCTACTCCAAGAAAACATACATCAAGCACATAATAAACTAGAGATTAACAACTTGATAATGAAAGCAAGGAAATCAATTAACTATAAAATCATCCATAACATTGAATATTCATGACTAGGGCTTCATCCTAAGCCCTAAGGATTAGTTAGACATAACTATGAATACAGAAAATAAGAAATACATAGATAGGATAAAGAGAGGAGAAAAACTAGATGATGGCAGCAAGGAATTACCAGGACACCTCCAAGCTCTCTTATCTCTTTGTGGTAAATCTGAATGTGTGTATGAGAGTAATGGATGAAGTGAAAATATGTGTATCTGACTCTCTGTATGAATGAGTGTGCAGCTCTCTATTTATAGAGTGCAATTTCGTCCTCCCCTTTGGCTGGTGAAACACACCTCTCTTAGTTGCTCCCAACTACTCCAGTTGCCCATTCTTGCCAACTGCTCCAGCTGCTCATACTTGCCAACTGCTCCAGCTGCCAAATACATGCTTTGGTATGGTTTCTTTATGGAAAGCTTGACTTTTGTTCATCCTTCTGAGTTCCTGAGCTGATTTGACTCCCATGTATGGCTGCCCATGTGTAGCACATGACTCTAGGGATGTAGCCACATTAAATGTGATGGCAGCCAACATGACATTTCTATGAACTTGGTTCAGTATTTGACGTGCTGAGGGCTCCAGATTTATCCAATTAGGCTGAAATTTGGATATGTTATAATAGACACCCATTGGAACAACATCTATCAAGGATGTCTCCTCATCTGACTTGTGTAAGTTGCTGAAATGAGGCCTGCAAGATGACCTACGAAATTGAACTGACAAGGAGTGTGGCCCAAATTGAGTTTGTCTTTAAGCTCATATTCCTCTTGTGCCACTCAGCCCTTAACAAGCATGGATTGCATCAATTGTGATCTCTTGCTGTCTTAACCTACAAAACACACAAACATAGGTAAAAGACTCAAAAATAAAGAGAAACTAAGCAAAGAAGGCATGCAAATGTGTGAAATTATGACCTTATCATTTATTGCATGTGTATTGGTTTTTTATTGCGTGTATATTGCATGTTTATTGCATGTGTATTGCTTGTTTATTGCGTGTGTATTGCCCCTTTATTGCGTGTATATTGCATGTTTATTGTAGACCTTACCAAAGAACCCAAAAAGAACTAGCTACGAGTTGGAAGATATAACTAAGAGGAGAGGAGCCGCGAGTCAGACCTCATCGAAAAACCCAAAATTTGTTGCACAATCCCAAGACAAATTGAGAAAAATTTGTTGCACAATCCCTCAAAAAGTTCTCGTATAATCCCACTGAAATAACGTTCTCTACACAAGCTGAAAATATTAATTGTAAACCTGGATAGTAAAATTCTAAATTAAACCCACAATTATATTTCACCAAATTTCTGTACAATTTCACTCAAATTTGACTTGGAAAGACTTGAACTCACATCAAGCACCAAAAATCCAAACCCATATATGAAATTGAAAAAGGAGATGAACACCCAAATTTGAAGGAGAAAAGCTAAGTTGGCTACCTGAGACTCCATGCATGGAGGTCGAAAGAGGTGACAAAGAGTGAGAGATGGAGGTGAAAAAGGTGAGGTCGTCGTCGCCAATGTGGGTGCGAGTGAAAGAGAGAAGAGAGGAGAGAAGGGCTGAGAGAGTGAGATTGAGAAATTGTGAAAGAGGATTTGAGAGAGCTCAGAATGACTAAACAAAAGTGAAAGGGGGGCATAAGGAAGAAGATGAAGAGGAAGAGACTAGAGAGATGAGAATATTTCAAAGAGCAATGACTCAGAAGAAAAAAACTAAGTGAAGGATGGGCAATAAGCTATCAATAGGGAGTTTTTATAAAGGGTATTTGTGATTGGGTTTCAAAATAAGGATATTAGTGAATAAATTAGGTGAGCCGGGGGTAAAGTTGCCAATTTCCCCCAATTTGACCCCACATCAGTAAAAATTGGTAAAATGTTCCCTTTTTTATTATTATTTTTATATATATTTTTATTTTTTATTTAAAGGAACTGATTTTTCCACTTCTCTTTTCTCCACTTACACTTCCTTTGTTATTTAATACATTTGAATCAATTTTGTTCTTTTTTGTAATTTTTCTTTCCTATTCTACCCTCATCCTATATTAATTTTTGATATGGGTACTCAATCAAT